TGCACTATATTTTTCGCTCTGCCGCACTTAATTAGTTTGCATGTTTTTGATGACAATACAGTGGCTTAGGTCACTGTATTCAAGGCAAATCTCAAGTTGTTTGGTTTGGTTCTTGTTTGGGCCCGGCCCCGTTCTTTGTTGCTTCGCTGTTTGCTTTTTGGCGAAACGCAAATCTGGCTGGGGGATTTGCGGGTCGTTTTGGTTGCGTTTTTGTTTGGTTCTTTGTTTGTGTTGATGTGATGATTTGCCCACGTTTTTGGACCACACGAGTCCTTTTTCTAAATACTTTTCACCGCTTACGCTATTGTAAGGACCGTGCCTAGTGCGAATCGGCCAAACCGGAGGAAAAAAAAAATGTGAGGTCGTCAAAGCAGTTTGGATTGACAAGGGTTGGACTTACAATAGCCGGGTCCTTCTCGGGTCCTTCTCGGGCCCCTTTCGGGTCCTCATTTGCAGTGGTCGGGTCCCTTCGGGTGCTCCTCGGGTCCTTCAGGTCCTTGTTCAGACTGGTCGGGTCCTTGGTCCTCATTGGGATCCCAATTTACTTTTTGTTGATATTCTTTTTTGCATCCAACGCCTCTTGGCTTTCGCCAGAATTTACTTGTTCAAACAACACAATTTTCTCTTTGCTGTTGATACAAAAGTACTGTATAAATACTGGGGAGGACCACTTCTTGGAATCCAAAAAGCTAATGTGTTTGCGGCCCGAAAATGAGATTGCTGCAGTGACCTTTTTTGCCAAAACTTGCACGGCTTTAACAAACCGCAGTGCTTTTTGCAAGTTCAACAGAATGGCAGGATCCCGGGGAACACCGTTGCTGATTCAATGTCTCCAGCCCCGCCTGCATGTTGCCCATCTTTGCCAAAGCACTATGTTGTTTGGAATTGTTTGGGTGTTGTTGTCGCACGCTTTCGCAGCGTGGCGTGGTGAGGTGCTGATTCTGCTGCGACATTGTTGGCGGGATGCAATTTTTCTGCGTTTGCGTTGGCAGTAAATTGTTTTGTCACGATTGGGCGTCGCACTGCTCAGTTTTGTTTTGGTCTTTTGATGCGTTGTTTGTTTTTGGACTCCCCCTCCCTTCGCCCCTCCCTAGACTCCTAACGCATGCAACAAGAAGGGCACTTTGTATCTTGGCAGGGACTTGGGAATAGATCCGGACTAAAATTCTAAGAGCTTTCGGGGGGATGATGGCCGCACCCTTGCTGGCCACCTGCTTGGGGACCCCTTCTAATAGTATTATAGTATCCCGAGTCCCCGTTGGACAAAAGAATCTCAATTGCCTTGTCAGTGCGATTGAAACTGAAAACTTCAAAAATCTCAAAACCGCGGTTCATCTTGTAAATTGCATAGTAAACTGAAAACCTCAAAAACCTCAAAAACCTCAAAAATCTCAAACGCCTTGTCAGCGCGACTGAAACTGAAAACTTCAAAAATCTCAAAACAGCATCTTGCGCATCTTGCGCTTTCTTGCGGAGTCCGGGCGACATATTAAATTGTTCGATTTGTTTGATGCCCGTTTTTGGGGTTGGAAATGTATATAGATTTTGGACTCCCAAAGGTGGTCCTCCCCAGTTCAGCACATGGATGTTTGTGTCATCCTTTTTGGCTTTTTGTGGTCTCATTATTCTGGAGCGTTTGAAGCAGCTGGAGGCGTTCTGAGCGTCATGTCGCGACCCCAAAAACAGGGTTGCCACACGCTCCAACGTGTAGATTTGGCGCGCCCGTTTTTGGTCTCGCCTGCTATTAAAATAGAAATTGAAAACAGCCTCGGAATGGCCCTGTCCAAAGCGAAAAGCGGTAGCGCGTGGCAATCCCATTTTTGGCAGTGTGGAACCTTGCAAGCTGCTCGAGACACGAAGCTCTTCGCATGACGGAAGTGGATCAAAGGTTTTGTTTGAGCAGCAAGCTTTCAACGCAACTGTATATCATATGGTCGGCTCAATGTAAGTATGCATGCCGATGCATACAATGCCGGCTTGTAAGCACTGGGTTTGCCAGCATGGACTCGTCAAGCAAAGTTAGCAAAAGTTCTGGACGGGCAGCTCGTATCAGCTGTGTGGAGGTCTTCGGTAGGAACTGGCTGCACTCTTGTTTGCATAAACTGCCGCTGTTGCTCTATCACTGCCCGCTCCACTGTGTTCGCTCTGGCTTAAAAGAAAGAAATGTGACCCAAAAAATTGAAACTGGGGAGGCCTAAATGAATGCGACCAAAATATGAGCTGTTTTGAAGGCTAGAAATGGGTTTCAACTTGGCGGTACTGAGGCCTGATAGACTACAAATGCAAATATGTGACACAAATTTTGTATCAGATTCTTTGCGTATGACACCTGCATGTTCATGGTGAACAGATTCTTCGAATATATTCTCTGCTGTTCTGGCAAGATTGTGTAAATTTTATAGCGTTGCCAATCGTTGTACATATTCGGCAGCGTGCGATGGATGCGCTCGGGAATGTCATATTCATTGTCTCGATGGTGTGAGAGTTGCGTTGAGCGAGAGAAGCTGGTTTTGACCCCGTTTGAAGAAGAGTCTGGACTACAATGTTAGACGCCCCTGCTAGAGTCTCTAGAAGGTACCTCCGACAGCCGGCTCGAGTGTTTATTCCACACCCCGCTCGAGCATCTTCGTAAAACCCAAACGGGGTGTAGGACCCGACCAGTCTAAACGAGGACCCGAAGGGACCCGAGGAGGATCCGAGAACCCGAAGGGGCCCGAGAAGGCCCGACCATTATACATTTGGACCCGAAAGGACCCGAGAAGGACCCGGCCATTGTAAGTCCAACCCTTGTCAATCCAAACTGCTTTGGAACTTTGTGTCACACATTTGCATTTGTAGTCTATCAGGCCTCAGTACGGCCAAGTTGAAACCCATTTCTAACCTTCAAAACAGCTCATATTTTGGTCGCGTTCATTTGGGCCTCCCTAGTTTCAATTTTTTGGGGTCGCATTTCTTTCTTTTCGTTCGCGCCGCGCTTGTCATAATCAAGCCAAATTGTTCACAAAATGTGGCACCAAAAAAGGGCCCGCCACACAGCGCCATTTTTGGAACCTATGGGGGCCATTTCTGTGGCCGTTCTGAAACAAGCTTCAATAGAATTGCGGGGCCAAAATTGGGTCCCCCAAAAACACAAATTGAGATCCAAAATTGGTGTCAATTTTTGAGGCCCTCTTTTGATACCATTTGCTCACCGCGTGATGCTACTGTATTTCAAAATACATTAGTTCAGCGAGCCAGGTTTAAACAGTAGTGGCGGTGTCCGGTTCTTGCTTCATCATGATTTTATTCGTGTTTCGTGTTTGTCTTTGTTTTTTTGTTCCCTCTGTGTCTTCTTGTTGTTTCAAAATCAAATCACGTTCTACTATGATTTTATGCGTAATACCAAATGTCTCCCTCTTGGTTCATAGTTGTCTCCCAGGTTGTCTCATTTTTTGTTTCAGATAGAAATGCCCTTGCAAAAAAAAATCGAAACCGTGTGGAATGAAAAAATGTTGCCTGTGATTCATATTCATGCTGTTCTCAATCTCAGTTGAGATGGATCAAAAACTTCCAGCATCAAGCATCAGGAACTAGTAAAACCTCAAACATGCACACACACAGGCTGCAATGGATATGAAATTACTGTTTGGGTCCTACAGGGGTGCAATCATTTTTGAATCTGATCCCGTGTGTGAGATGCGTTGCCTGAGACACATTTTCACTCGATTTTGCAGAAGACAATCTTTGAAAAAACATTTTTGATTTCAAAAAATGCTGGATGTTGCATGTAAATTGTTCCAATTTGAAAACAGTTTCTATTGGAATACAGGCAACGTGCATTGAAACACTTAAGTTTGGATTTTTAAAGGCATCTAAATTCGCGCATTGGACATGAACACCCCCATGACCACGGCACTCAAAACGTCCGCTTCATTTTAGGGCATATTTTTTTGGTGTTGGTGATCCATGGTTTTTGTTTTGATTTTTTGTTCCTGAAAGCTAGCGGTAGCTTGCTGGAGTTACTCTTGCTTCAGCAAAGGGCGGGCAGGCCTGAGTCCAACACGGTGATTTTTCATTCGAAACCTCCCAAGTTCGTGGGGCATTTTGAAGCGGTGTTGGAAGCAGATGGTCACGGGCCCAAATCCTGCCAGGTCTCTAGGCAATATGTATTCAGCATATCAAAATCCCATCATGTTTCCAGGTTCATATGAACCTTAGCCTTCGCTCACCCTTCCCTTGGGTCTCAAGTCATGCCATCCGAGTGGTGTGCTCGCCGCATGGTTTTTCAATCCCCAGCGTTTGTATGATTCTTGTTTGTATTGTCAAGGACATGACAGAAAAACATAGGAACCAGGTTTGCCTTCGAAATCGAACATGCATTTTTTTATTTTTGTTGTGATGGCAAATGGGTGCGTCATCCCAAGATGTCGTTTTATTCGTTTAAAATTTACCAAAACAGGTAAATCGCGAAAACTAATTTGTGTTAGTTGATTTTTTTTGTTTTAGCAAGGAATAGGCAAACAGTACGAAAATCCAATTCCTAGAAGGTTATACCGGTTATACCCTCCCTTCCCCTTTGGCAAACTCGGGTCCAACCCCCCATGGTCCATGGTTTGAGGGCAGGTACAGGTTTGTCATCCATTTTCATTTTCATAAGGAACATTGTCATCATCATCATCATCACCCCCACAACCACCACCACCACCAATGATCATCATCATCATCATCATCATCAGCCCCTCTCTTTGTTTGGATGTGAATCCGGTTCTCTCCCTTGGCCTCAAGTATATCTGGGATTATCTGGATCCGTTGAATCACATTATTCCAGGTGCCCAAGGTGGATGGTTTGTTCTTGATACTGAAGTCATTTGGGGGTTTCCATGGGGGTACCCCAGCTGGATGATTTTTTTTTGAGGGAATTTCCTACTAACAGTTACTAACATAGATGATAATTGGGGGTACCCCTATTTCAGGAAACCCTCATTTCATTTCTAGATTTGGGGACTTAATGTTTCATCCACAGCGGTTCGGCTCAATCCCCAGCATGGCAAACGTTCCAGTGGCAGATTTGTCCAAAGAGCAGCAGGTGCCAAACGATGTTGTCACTTCAACAAGAATCAATTCATGTTGGGGGTGAGAGTTGGTAAGATTACATGATGAACACATGGTTGAAATGGACAATATCGAAAATTTTGACACACCATAAATTGAATGTTGATCAGCTGGGGTGAAATGATCCCCATAAATTGAAACAACCCCAGCATAGAGAATTGGGTTCCCTTGGGTTCCCTTCACGCCACCGACATCAAAACTTCACCGGTTTCGGCAGGATGAACTCCTCTGCACTTACGCCGCGCTGATTCTCCACGATGATGGGGCTGCGCCTTTGTCCACAATGATAAATCATTGAATCATTTTTTTTTGTGATGATGATGATGATGATTAATTATTATTATTATTGTTATCCTTCTTATTATCATTGTCATTGTTCATATTGTTTCTCTTATGATGTTTATTATTAGTATCATTGTTGTTCTTGTACATTTGGAGACTTTATCCCAACATTTCTTTAGACATTTATCCCAACATTTCTTAACGTGTTTTTTGGGCAAATCGATTGCAACAGGGGAACGTCCGGGACGGTGGAGAATCGGAGAACTTCTCCTCTGGTACCCTCCGGTAATTTAACAATTTGCGACATGGAAAATGGCCATAGAAATAGTGAGTTTTCCCATTAAACATGGTGGATCTTTCCAGTTCGTTATGTTAGCCCGTTTCCCAGAGGGTAATATAATGATGGACAACCACCATTTTGAACATATTTTTTCGGTAAACATATATAGCGAGGCCATTTTCTGTAGCTCAGTGTTTACCGTCATGAGAGAACACTCCTTTGCACCAAGGAGATCAATCCTCAGAACATGACCAACCTGATCAAGGCACGCCGATGTTTTACCGTTGTAACAGCATGCTAAATTACGATTTGGAGTCGTGGAAAATTGAAACTCCAGCATTTTGGTGGTTTGGAACATGATGATGTTCTGGTTGGTGGTTTGGAACATCTTTTATGACTTCCATTTCATAATATGGGATGTCATCCTTCCCATTGACTTTCATATTTTTCAAGATGGTTAAAACCACCAACCAGTGTTGTATTCCATGCTGATTGCCCGTTCGATGATGGAAGATGCATTGCGACCCCAGGCGGCAGGGTGCAATGTCGAGGCATATTGGCCTTTGCTGATGTCCAAGATGATTTCCAACGACGCTCGCCGTTGATAGTCTACATACATCAACTTTGAGTGAACATGGGGAACCCCTTGGGTTTCTGGTACCTCAAAATGATGTGTTTTTGTTTTTTTCTTGGGACCCAAGTTTTGGACACGCCAAAAAGATATCATGTTTTAAGTGCACAAAGCCAAACTTTCGAGCCATGCCACGGACGGAACTGACAAATCTCGAGTTTTCTTTTTCCCCGCGGTGTAGCATTGGTGTAATAACCCTATTTTTTTTGGGTGTTTTGGATAACAGCAATCTTGGATGGCTGACATCCGGAACTCACTTTGAGGAGAATACACTTTTGTGCTACCATCATTTCACACTTTGAGGTCACACTTTGACATCTACTTGATTGAACTACCTTAAACCAACTTTCTCAAAGTGGTGTACCTTTCCTTGTCTGTGAAACTCTCCCATGTGTCCAACATGTTTCTTGGCTGCCGCTTGACGTCTCCATTTCTCCTTGAAATTCGGAAAAATGACAGGGAACACACGTTGAAACACATAGCAATGACACGTTTGATGGGTCCGTTGTGTACCCAGACTCCCCTTGCAGAGGGTAAACCAACATAGCTATTGAAAATGGCCTTAGAAATAGTTTATTTACCGATTTACCCATAAAAAAATGTATGTTTTCTAAGTTTTTTTGTATGTTTACCAGAGGGTAACACTGATGCTGACAGAGGTTGGCATGGAGACCCTCATCAAGCTGGGCAGCGGTGCCGGCGGTGGCGGTGGCGGTGGAGGAGGCGGTGGTGGTGCTGCCGCGGGTGGCGATGGTGGAGCCGCTGCAGGTGCAACAGAGGAGAAGAAGGCCTGGATTTTTTTTTGGTTATAAACCAACAAGAAAGGGAATATCATGGGGATATATTATATATTTATACATATTATATATATATATATGCATATTATGTATATATATATATATTATACAATATGATATATATATATATACATGATGGAAGAATGACAACTGATATATGACATCATATGAATATGGGTAAACAAGAACTGCATTGGGGTTTAGCCAGCAACACTTGGGAAACAATATATGGTGATATCACTGAATATTTTGTGTGATATCCTCAACATTTTTTTCACGGGTAGACGTGTGTGTATGGGCCATTTAATGGGCAAAACCATGATTGTAATCGGTGGATTTAGGGTAATACACCTTATTTCAGACAGATTACTTTCCATACAAATGAGGGGATGAAGACTATCCATAGTTCCATCCTAACTAATATTTGACAAACACACCAGAACGTATTGGATGTATGTATATATATATATATACACATATATTTGGTCTATTAATTTTGGGGGTTCATATGAGAGAATCTGATATTGGAGGGATGGGACTTTGCTTAGTAGCGATGCTACTATGGTTTTGATCCATGGCCGCCATGGCCTCCCCCCTACAATACAAATGGTCACCATGTTGGTCTAGTGTAAATTATGACTTGAGATTGAGCCCAAGCAGACAAGAGTGAGAAGATCTACAGCAATCCGTTAAATAGTGTGCTAACTTGTGCAGAGTCCCTCCTTTCAACAACCAGAAGTGTCATTTTAATTTTCCAATAATTCCCAGAAAACATGTTTTGAAACTTGACAAAGCCATGAGCATTTGAAATGAACCACCAACGCAGGTCGAAGAGGAGGAAGAAGAGGAATTGGGCTTGGGAGATGGTCCCATCCTGTTCGGGATTGGTGGCTGAACCAGAGAAATATGTATGTAAAAGCGATACGCAATGGCCATGGGTCTACAGTGATCCTGGATAAACGGCCAACCACTTTCTAAATTAAAACTGCAAGCAACTAGCAACCAGTTCTACACCAAGTGAGCTTCAATGGCCATGACTGAACATTCCAGGCCTCAACATGAGGTTCCCTCTCAGCAGGAAGACATGGAGTTCGATCTCTTTGGCTGAGGGGACAAGCAGGACACAGAGCCACACTGCACGGTGGATGCGGAAAAAGTCGCTGTCGAGATCTAGAAACACATGGTCCATTTGCCGCAGCAACGCGAAAGGATGGGGTGTCGGATTGGGAATTGACATCCACCGGTTTTGTGCAATGTCAATCCTGCGGCGTCCGGGATGATATGCTTTGGGGATGCCCAATGGTGAACTTATCCGCACCGTGGTTGCCAACACACGAAACAAATCCAACAAAATTCAGGTCTTTACTGGGTGAAATGGTTGCAGATTTGAAACAGATCAGGACTTGAATTGCAACATGTTTCGAGACAAATAAGGGTTTGGCAGGATAGACATACGAAAAATGTGTTCAGTTCTGTTCAAAACCCCACTTCTTAATATTTGTAAATTGAGCCGCATTCTTTTTGTTTGATTTTCGCCTGGTAAGTGCTGTTGACATACTCTTGGCCTGACTTTGGGTTGAGGTCGGCTTCTTGAGAAAGGAATCACCGACTTGAGGACTGCATTTGGCTAAGACACAAGTTTCTTCGTGTAGACTTCAGACACATGGAATGACACATTGTGAAACGCAGTTGTGAAAATTAGTCTTCTGGTTGAAATGGTTGTGACAATTAGCAAGTGATTGTTACGCTTTGAGAATTTGGCCTCCTTCTGCTACATGGGACAAAAAACACACAACATTTTTATCTTACTCAGTATCTACCCATCTCACAAATGAAGTAACATGAAAGCAACATCACCTACCTCAGATCTTACTGACCTTGCAACAGAGTTGCTAGCCCTGCACATCTGCAGCCTGGCCGCAGCAGCCGTGGCAAGTTTTATTTCTCGCTGCTCGGTGGACGCGACGCCATGCCGCCAGCAAGGAAGCAAACAACACAAGCTCGGCAGGCCGGGGCACAGGGGGAGCCACTCTGGGATAATTTATGGGATCATCTGGGGCCCAGGTGGACCGTGGACCTCCAAGCGCAAAAAGAAGGGACTTTGCGATAAGTCATGTGTTGCTGGAAATAGAGGGTCTTGTTTTTTTTTTTCCGAATATGACGTCCAATAGGATCTCATAAGAACACAGGTTTCCTGGGAGAAGGACAACACCATTATCACAGGGTCTCTAGTCCGGCGAAACAGAGGGAAACTAAATGTGGCGTTTGGATTGGGGGAATGCTTTGACTTGCTCATTCCTTGCAAGACTCACATTAGGGATGGTTGCTGGATATACAACAAGCAAATACATTTTAGGTGCCGCTGCTGCTGCTGCTGCCCCGTTATTGATTAGATACTAATTCCCATTACCTCCAGAAAGGATCGGAAAGGTAGCTACATCCCTGTGAATGTTGATCACATTTTGATTTCTATATCTGAGTCCTTCAGATTGGTTGCGATATCACATCCTTGTTTTCATTGTTCTAGATTCTAGATTCTTGATTGCATCAATTCTGTTGTGTTTTTATTGGTTCATCTTGACTACTAATGCCATCCCCCTAATACGAAATATCTCCCCAGAACGGTAGTATCTACTCCAGGGGACCATATGGGTTTTCACCTTGAGGCGGCCATGCGTCAGTATGACATGGCACTCTGCATGTGCACTCAGCGGTACCCCTTGAACCCTGGAACCACTGTGCCCATCAAGTGGGCAGGTTTACTGTGTCAGAAAAATCTCTAAAGTTTGGTTGCGTTTTGCCCCTTTGGGGTGTGGCTCAAACTTGGGAAACCCACCAACATGGTGGTTTTAATCAAGAAATGGCGGTTCCAAACGGGCGCATACCTCCATTTGATTTTTCAAGACTGCTTGTGGTAAACCCCAAACCATAGCCATTCTCAAAATGATGGCGTTATTTTACTATCCCCAACTCGAGGTGTTTGGCATTGGGGGTTCACGAATATTCTTGAGCTTGAGATCCTCGAGACATGCAGACATGGCCACAAAGGGCCCCCCCCCTCTACCTGTACCATCCTGTACCTGCTTGTCATGCATTTTTGCACAACATGATTGTACCTCCAAACTGGATGCCTTACCAAGCCTTCAAGATCTGCTCCCCTCATCCTGGCCTTAGGTCGAGCCGCAACCGAGCACAAGAGTCGAGATGCATTGAAAGAGAAGGCAAGTCGCGCCGACTCCGAACTGGTTGTGTATGTTCTTGCTGGTCTTGAACATATTTAGGAGATGAGTTTCATAGTCACAGCACTTCCATGAGGATCAGTCTGAAACTTGTGCACAGGATTGTTATTATCAGCATGCATATTGCCGTGGCTCAAAATCAGCACTTGCAGATGGTTTCACAGACATTTTTTGGTGAGTTGTGCCCACCCCTATTTGAAGGGTGAAGGGGTAGCCAGGTAGCCGCTCCTTCCAGAGCCATGTGGCTCAAGGATCAGGCCATGCCAGACCGAGGTCTGTTACATGTGAGGCCTGGGACATGGGAGTCACTGTCATCAAGTGATTCTCTTACAGCCAGTTACGTTAGACAGCGGTGTTTGTAACATGATATCCCTGGGATTTCGCCTGAACCTGGGCACCATCTAAGATCCATCCATCTTTGACTGGCGAATCAGTTTTACCCCATTCCCGCCTATTTTGAGCAACAACACTTGTCTGGAGATAGTGATAATTTGTAGCAGTTCAGTCCAAAGGAATCAAACTGTTTTAGCAAAACAGTCCAAAATTCATCTTGTAGACTGGCCATGATTTTTGCTCCAGGCAATACAGTTCCAAGATGGACATTCCCATGAATTTCCCATGTTTCATGCCATGCTACAGCCTGCCAGGTTGTCGCCGGTTCATGAAGCATGCGTCGCTGTTCTTTCTAGTGCCTTGTTTGGAAATGGTTGGGCTTCTGGGCTCAGTAGACGTCTCACGATGATCCTGGAGCAAACATTGAGGTCCCCATGTAATGCATGCGTATGTATATATGAATATCTTATATATATATAATATACATAAATACATATACATATGTATATATATGTATATAATACACAACATACACCTATCCACTGTACAACGTTTTTTTTTGCGCACATGTGCTGTAGTCTTCGGGTGAAATGATTTTCCGTTTCAACCCCAGATGTAGCGGGCAACGTGAGGTGGGGCCGTTCCAGAAAATGGGGTAGGCAGGAATTCTGAAGGTGTAATGACAATGACTTATTATTGTTTCTAATGTATTTATATATGGTCAGCGACCTAGTCCTCAATTTATATATGGTCAACGGCCTAATCCTCAATTTGGGGGGTGCTGGGGGTGGTGACCATACATATACAAATATATATATATATACATAATATATATATATATATGTATATGTATATGTATATGTATATGTATAATTCTATATATATATGTATAATTCTATATATATATTTATCATACCTACGTAGGTCGTTTAGCAGCCCGCAGGGCCTTGGCCTGAAGGCGGGCCATGGCGCTTGGGTGACTTATGACCAGCTACAAGGCGCCCATGGCAATGTGCACATTCCTCTAGCAGTTAGTTGGGCTATGATTTGTGAATTTTGTGAACTTCAAACCACCTGAGAAACCTAGTCAGTCTTGGATAGTACATAGATCATATAGATCATAGATCCAATCATATTTTGTTGCAAAGGTCCATTGAGACATCCTTAGCAGGCCTCTGTTTCTGTCAGGCGAAGCTCCGGTTGTCGACCGGCCCAAGGGCGGTGAGGCTCCATCTCTCCTCCAAAGGTGGGGGTCCAATGACACATGTATAGGAGTCAAACTGGAGGCCACCAATGGGCTGGTTTACAGATTTGCCACGCTGTCGGGGTCGCTGTTGCCTCAGTCGTCATCGTGCTAGAGCTGGACACAAGAAAAACAAGGCTGGGCGCTTGTCGCAAAAAGGGATACTGTACATGAGTGAACTTTGTCCACGTGTTAAAGGGGATGGTTGTCATTAGCCTGGAATCCAGAATCTAGCAGCTCACACAGTGTGTCATCAAATTCAAGAGCATTCCATGTGCTTGATAGAACGAGCGTGTTTGCCACGAGAGGCAAATTGCAGTCCATGGTGGGGTATGCCTCTGCAGGATGTGTTGCTATACTACATCAACATCCTGTAAGTCGTGAGGCTTATTTTGACAAAATGTTTGTCACCAGTGTTTTACATTTGGGAATCCAACAGCGCCCATTTTTGAATCAGGCAATCTAGGCGCAGATGTTGGGAAGTCCAAACCAGCCCCAGCGTGCTCCACTGCCATGGACAGAAACGTCATGGGCAGCGACACCAAGCATTGCAAGCTACCGGGCATGGTCTGGAAATTCAGCAGGTGCGACCGTTAGAGGCTAGTGGTGTCTGGGTAAACCCCAATGGAGTACTTCAGTAGATCAATTTTCAGCCATAAAATGGCGGTGTATGGCTAAAGACATGTCTTTCTGTTTCGCTTGGAGCTGCCACACCGCCGCCGCAACTGAAAAATCTTGACCTCAGGTGTCGGCGCAAAGCTCTAGGCGAAGGGACATGGAGCTGCCGATGTGGAATATGAATGCACACTACTGGGATATGAAATGGGAGATAATACAATCGATATTTCTTTGGGGGTAGATGGGTGTACCTGCAAAACGGCACTTTTACTTGGGAAAATGACGATAGACCAGTGGATTTCGGGCGACTTCATATGATTTTCAGACCCAGATGGAAACTTACTGTTTGAATTTGGACTATATACAGGAACATCATTGACATGAAGATATTTTGCTGCTAAGATTAGGACACATGTTGATCTTCCACTCAGCCAGCTTCAGGCAGATCGAAGGAGCAGAGTCCAATTCCAGCGGAGAACTTGGAATCGCCTCTCAATTGGTCCCTGGGCAGCAGGGAACCGAAATCTCTAAGCTGATCAGGACAGATTGACCATTTGGGTTGTATGTCTATTCCATGAGCATGTGAAGCTTCTTTAACTGGCTGGTCCGTGGCACATGGACAGTACTTTCGGTGAAACTTGCAGGCTTGTGAAGTTGAGAAATAGCCACTGATGCGGATGCGCAGAAAACTGCCTTGCCATGTCAAAAGATCTTGATG